TCTCTCATGTTCAATTTCGATTGTTTAATAATGATATTAGATTGTCCTTGAAAGATTTTGGAAAATTGTTTGAATTGAAAGCCGATAGACCAATTGAACCACCCCAAGCCAACATTACTTTTGTCTACCGTGCTCTAACAGGGAATCCTAACTTGAACCTCCAACATGCCAAGGGCACTTGGATTCAACATCCCGTGCCAAAACTTTGGCAACGGTTTGTTGGCCTCACCATCTTTGGGAGGCATGAACCGGCTAATGTGAGGAGAGATGAAGTAGAACTATTAGGATCATACATGATTCCTAAGAGTGACAAGCTTAACATAGTTCATAGGATGGCCCAACACTTCCAGAGGGTGGCCAATGCGACCGAATCGGGTAGGTCTAGGGTCCCAATTTAATTTGGTGGGTTAGTAACCCACATTGCGGTCAAATACCTTAGTTGGACCCCTAGCGATGATGGTAAGGTAGCCGAACCAACCTTAATGGACGCACCCTACTTAGGAGGCCTTAATTGGATAAATGTGATAGGGGGTGAGACTTGGTGGGTGATTCATAGGGAGTCGGGTAGGAAAGACAACGCTTTCACCTTGCCTAACCCGACCTTGACCAAATTTGGGAAGGGTCTTCCCTCTTATACCTTTGAATTAGGAGACCAAGGGGAGGCCCAACCACACCACCAAGCATCTCCTTCACCACCACAACATTTCAACCAACCATCACCCCAACACTACACACATAACATCCCACTTCCTCAACCAACTACAACGTCGACCCTAACGCCCCATATGACTTCTCGACTTTTAGGAGTTAATTGGATCGGATAGAGAGTGGGCAAGGGAGGATGGAGGGTATGGTTAGGAATTTGGACACTAGGGTAGGAGCCCTAGATGCTAGGGTTGGGGTTGTGGAGAGGAACTTGGGGCGGGGCTTATACCCCATGTATGATGATTATGCCCGTCGGGGGGCTATTCCCCCCGAATCACTTGTCCCCGATTGGTTCCAATACCCCCAAGGGGGATACACGGACCCAAGTGCCTACAGTACCTATGTGTACTATTCATCGGTCCATGGATATGGGACCGATGCTCCTTTTGGTGGGCTTGGGGGGAATGTAGACCCTAACTATTTTGCAGGTGGTTCGGGGTATGGAGGTGGTGGTTCGAGCCATGGAGGGGCCGGTTCTAGCCATGGTGGTGGTGGCTATTCGGGGATGGATGAGAATGAGGAGTAGGTTACACTCCCAAGTCATTGCTTGATTTGGCTTGGGGGGGTAATTTTTCGCTTGGTAACTCTCTTTCCTTTCTCTCTATTTACTTGCTTTCTAGTGTAGTTTTTATTGCTTTCTTATAAATGAAAAATACAAAAAAATTGAAAAAAAAAAATTCAAAAATACGTTCCAATGAATTGTAAATCATGCTTCCCTGTGCCCCATACTTGAGAAAATTTGTTTTGATTCTTGGTATTTGATGATGAATATTGTGGATTTGTTGGTCATGATTTGAAGTCTAATTGTTTGGATTCCTTTACATGCGTCAATTTCGTCCAACTACTTGTGAATATAGTGCTTGACTAGTTGATTTGGTTAGGAAGATACTTCCATAATTCCTGGTATGTCAATAAATTTGAGTATTTATTTGCAACTATGAGTAGTGTTTCATGACTTATTATTATGCACATGAGGAGGACGAAGGCGTTCATTCTTTTAGGTAGCCTTCAGAGTATTTAGATACATTCGTCTCCTTCTTGTTACCCATGTTGTTGCTTGTGCCCTTTTTATTGTTATATTAGCCACATTACAAGTCTATTTGAGCCCCATTAGTTACTAGTCCCAAGCTTGGCTTGGGGGAGCTATTAGTTGGTGAGGTGAGGGAGTTGTGGTGTGCACTCTATTTGCACAATGTGGGAATAAAAGAAGAATGATTGTTCTTTGATTTTTGATTGGAAAATATTGATGTTGTGTTTCAAAGTTAAAAATTCCAATATGAGTTAAAAAGGAAAAACAAAGAGCAAAAGAAAAAAATTAATGCTCAAATGTTCTATTTGAAGGTTGTTCTAAAGAAAAAAAAAGAAGAAAAAAAATTTCAAGTTTGAAAAAGGAAAAAAAAAAAAAAAAGAATGAGTTCAAAGTTTGTCTTTCACTCAAAGTTCCATATTATCATATTTTTATGAGTGAAATTGTAAGTGTTGGGATTGTTTATATTGTTTGGAGTATATTTGGTGGATTGTTGTTTGGAGTTGGTTATGTTGGAGATGTGTATGATCATTATTTTTTATCATGGGTTTATTAGGATTTGGCTCCCTTAATGCATAGCTTTTCTCTCACATAATCCCAGATTTATCCTACCTTTACCCTAGCCTTACATTACAAGCTTAAAAGACCTTCCGACCTTGTGCATAGAAGTTATGTAAATGTGAAAGTGTTGTTTTTCAATGCAAGTTATGATTTGACATATTTCGAGTCGACTAGTAGGATGAGCGTTCAATGTTTTTATACACATGAGAGTGTGAGATGGGAGGGCATTATTCACATAAAGGGGTTGGATGGAGAGCGATCGAGTACATCTTTTACTCGCCACATAAATGAGAGTTGAGTGTGTGAGCACTAGTCTTGAATTCTATATGCTCTTGTGGTTTGCTATGTTTGACAATTGTTAGGGGAGAAAGGTAATTGGATGGATTTGATTGGTTGACTCTGAACCGTGTTTATTTGATTTACCCTGGATCGTTTGTGCTTGATTTTTACTTATTGGGGTGAAGCATATTTATTGATTCATTGATGAGATCTTTGCTTAGAGACAAGCAAAGGTTTGGCTTGGGGGAGTTTGATGTGTCCATTTTATATACTATTTTACCCCCGTCCCTTGGTCATAATTAGTAGTGTTTTTGGCTCTTTAGAGCCACTTTTATTACTAATTGGTGTTTTCCAGTGTTTTCGTAGATTTGGTTGACTTTTGCAGGGATTTATGCTTTTGGAGTATTTTCCCGAGATATTTTGGAGCAATCACGAGCATTGGAGAAACACGACCACTTTTGGAGCCCAAGACCGGTGAGAGCCGGTGATTAAGGGCTCGGTAATCGGGATACCAAGGTATATGGACCGAGTGATCAAGACCCTAAGTGGATATCCGGATTGGGCCAAAGAAATAAGCCCAATCGAAGCTCCGAGCCTCGAGGTGAAGCAAGGGCCCGATCGGGCAGCTTAGCTCGATCGGGCAAGGCACGCAAGTGTGCTGGTGCATGGCCAAAGGCGCGCCCGATTGGGTGAGCTGCTAGCTCGATCGGGCGCGGCTGTGAGAAGACCTGTGCGAGAAAAAAGGCGCGCCCGATCGGGCGCGTGTTTCTGGAAAGGCTCTTTTGTCGAAGCAATTAGTTTCTAATTAGGAGTTGTTTTAGTTTTGTTTTTAAGTACGTTTTTAGGAAGATTAATGGATCTCCTCTTCTTCCCTGATCTCCTTCTCTCTTAGATTTTCTCTCTCTACTTAGTTTTCTCTCTCTTAATCTCTCTATCTAAACTTTTGTTCTTAATTCTTTCATTAATTCCAGATTTATTTTGGTAACGATTTCTCTTCCTTTAATCTTAGTTATTTATTCTATTCCTTTCATCATGATTTATTTTATTACTTTGATTAGTTTAGTTTTTAATATGTGTGAGTAGTTTAATTTCTAGGGTTTATGGGGATCCATAAATAATATGAAGGGGTAATTTGTTGTTGTTGATTATCAATGCTAGATTAATTTCCTATTGATAGATTTAATGCTCTGTGACTAGATTAGGCCTATATTTTATGCATGAGTTTGACAATATTGATTCAAGAATCGAGAGATGAGAATTAATGTTTAGGTCTAGCTTCAACAGGCAAATTAATTTATAAATGGTTAAGTCAAGATTCGAGAGATGAGATTTAATACCGGTAAATTAATTGTGTGATTGTAATACGTAGCGAGAGCCCTTTACAATCTGGTTAATTGATGCATTGATGATTGACTATTATTGATTATTGGTATTGCATGATAATTTCTTATTGGATTGTTTTAATGTTTTACAATTGCGGCTTGTAAAAGTATAGCAATATTAAATTGATGAATCGTGCAGATGTTAATTTGATATTAAAGGCTATTTTCAATAAGAACTTAGATCTAGGAAATTGCGAGAGCCTGTTAGATCTATGCTGATTAATAAATTGCGAGAGCCTGTTAATCATGTTATTTATGTAATGTCATTGATTGATTACTATGTTTTACCCTGGAATATTATTTATTGGTGAACCTATGCCCTAGATCCCTTTATATATTGTTCTCTTCTTACTCTTATCCTTAATAGTCTAGTTTATTGCTTAATTATAAATATTGGTCACTTAAATAATTTAGATTATATTAATTAATTAGGAGTAAAAAGACTTGTTTCCCTGTGGAGATCGACCCTACTTCCCTATCTACCTTAGTTAGTGATTTAGGTAATTAATTTTTATTAGGGGATACGACTTTACCCTGTCCCTTACCAAGTGTCTCAAGTGTATTATGCATCTTACCCTAGCCTTAAACGTGATCGGGTTCAATGGTGGGCTGTATTTAGAATTCAAGCAAGGTCGGTGATTGATGCTCCGGTGGATTTAGAGTTTTTGCAGGGTCCTTCACCACAAGTACATGAAACGCTTTGTCCACCAAATGACATTCCAGACTATGAACTTGATAGTGATGATAATGATGACGATGGCTTTGTTATCTCAAGCGATGAAGAAGAAGAAGAAATCATTGGCTCCAGTGATAGTGACGAAGAAGAGGACATCGATGTATTTTTAGATGACACTAGTGATAGTAATAATGATAGTGATAATGATAGTGGTAGTAGTGATAAGAGTAATGAAGAGGAGAATATGTAGTTACTCCTTTAACTATTGTCTTCGAATGTTTAGTTTTTAATGACTACTCGGACTTGTAATATTGCATTTCATTTTTGGTCTCATTTTATTCTTTTAATGTCTTATGGATCTAATTTATGAATTTACAATGTGCGATCATGGTACTAACAACTTTTTCAGGTGGTCATCATGGGAGGAGGAAATAAAGGAGAAACGTCCAAGAGGAGAAAGACTAAGGGAAAATCTCAGTTTCTACGGGCTGACGAGGATGAGTCAATGAAGGAAGAGGAGGCACATGATTTGGGGGCCTCTCAAGAAATCGTCAATCGGAGACAGATTCCTAGGCATGTACAAGGGCAACAGGAGCAACAGGAACAGGAGCTACAAGACCCGCATCCTAATGACTTGCTGGAGTTGGACCCTTCCACACTTTGGTGCGTATGTATTTGTAATGAAATATCCTTAAATTTGTATTTACTTTGATAAAGTGAATTTGTATTACTTTAACCATGTTTTGTTCACTTTTTGTTGATTATCTACTTACATGAATGTTTATCCTTTATTATAGGTTTGATGATATCCCGGTGAAGAATGTGCTATCCGACTCGCTAACCGGCTATTATGTTGAGCCTTGGAGGAATTATGGAGAGGTTGATGAAGATTCGAGAGAGCACTTTTGGAACTTGTTTAGCGTATGATAACTTTAACCTAACATAATACATGTTTTATAAAGTATATTGATGGAGTTGAATTTTGTAATAAAGACATTTTCTTGATTTGCAGAAAAAATTCAAGTGGGCACCTGAGTTAAACAACCAAGTGAAAGACACTTTCGAATCTAAGTTTGCAAATCGCCTACGTGACACGTTCTACAATATCACACACAGGCTGAATGGTGGCAGACCAAGATGGCTTAATAAGGATGTTCACGAACGCATGATGCGAATTGTTGCCACTGATCCAGATTATAAGAAGCGGTCGGAACAAAACAAGAAGAACCAAAGAGGCGGATCCATGGAAAATGTCGTTGAACCGACCCACTTTCAAGGTTCAATGTCAGCTGTACAACATGCTAAAAGGATGGTAAGGTTCCTAAAATATGTCCAGTAACAATTAAGTCATTTGTGTATTAATAAATTTTGGTGGGCTAACATGTTTTCATTGATTTTCTGCATGTATATATAAAGGCTGCAAAAAACCAAGGCCAATTACCAAATGCCCATGATCTTTTCTTGAAGACACACTTCAAGAAAGTGCCTGGAAAAGGCCAAGTGGCTGCCAACACCAAAGCAAAAAGGATTGCGGTAAAAACTTATTATATGAGTTGATATATGGCAAATTAGCAAAGTAGAACTCATTATATGGTTATTTGGATAATTTTGGATGAGTTAGGGTCGAAAATTGACTTATGTGCTTATTTTTCTTTATTTCTATCCTTAGGCACCTACAAGTATGTGATACTGGAATGTTAGAAGAAAGAAACCTTCCATTTGATTGAAAACATAGAAAATAGGCATGGTTTTAGCCATATAGGCCAAATTTGGATGATTTTGGATTAGTTAGGGTCGATATTTGACATATGTGCTTATTTCTCTTAATTTCTATCCTTAGGCACTTAAAAGCAATTGATATTGGAATGTTAGAAGAAAGAACGAGTCCATTTGCTTAAAAACATAGAAAATAGGCATGGTTTTAGCCATCACTAGAAGAAAAAACCACTTAGCCACCGGTTCAAAACCCCCCTAAGCCACCGGTTTTGAACCGGTGGTCATTTGGGGGGTGGCAATAACCTCAAGAAAGGCCACCGGTTCAAAACCGATGGCAAAAATGATTATTGCCACCGGTTAACCGGTGGTAATATTTATTATGGCCACCGGTTAACCGGTGGCAAAAAAAACCCATTCCCGCTTTTTTTAAAGGGATTTTTGTCACCGGTTCTGTTCAAAACCGGTGCCAATAATGGCCAAAAAAATAAAAAATAAATAAATATTTTTTTGCATTTTTTTCAATTAAATTGATATATAAACACTAACATATATATAAACTTACATATTTTCATTAAAATAAGGCTGTAATATTACAATTTTGGTCCCAAAAAAAAAAAAAATACAAGTCACTGTTAAATACAAGTCACACAAAATCACCAATGTAACACGTGGCGAGGCAGCAACTGCAGCAGCGAGCCTTGGCGAGGCAGCAGCAGCCTTGCATATAGATAACATCTTCCAACAGCCACCTGCATCAACAAACAAAGATAAGAGATCTCGATGTGTGTATTAATCAAAGACAACAAGCAGAGCAATACTAATTCAATTTCAAGAGAGCCAAATTACACCAAGCATAACAATTCAATGTGATATTGGCTCCCTTTCTACTCAAATTACCACCCCCAAACAATATAATCAAAACCTATTTCAAAATCCACTTTGAAATTAGTTCCTTTCTACTCAAATTACACCAAAGCAAATTAATCCCACTTCAACACAATCATAGAATTAATAACCCAACAATCATAGAATTAACACCAAAGCAAAGCAATACAGCAAGCTAAGCCCAATTGACAAATCCGCAACATCATCAATCAAAACAGTAGGGGTATTTGTAACCTTAATTCATCAACAACAAGATTTCTCTAGCCTTAGGAGTTGAGAAATTTTCCTACAGCAATAGCTAATTTAATTTACTCAGGTTCTCTCCCAGTCACAGTGAAAGATTATATCCAAAACAAAAATAATTCATTAGTTCAATTCTCAGCTAATGGCTAATGCAGATCTAAAGCACAGAATTTGTAATGATTAAATTACAGGCAAGGTTATTTAAAACACAGGTAAATTATTAGTTTACTACAAAAGTATCAGGCATAAGTTTACATATATAGTAACAAGTTTATTGGACCAACAACGCAAGGCTGTTGGGTGCCTATCATCGCTGAATACATCGAATTTACACATCTCTAGATGACTGCCTACCAGAAACAGGGTTAATACAGAAAGTCAAGAAAATCATAGACAGGAAATCAATTACAGAATTTCAGTTCAGCTTTAATTCAAGAAAATAAAACCACAGAGAAGGGTTAGACATTCCTAGGAGTAAAACTTGGCTCAATTTAATACATTTCTGCGGAAATTTGGCAAGAATTATCCAGTGAAAGAAAAAAGTACTAAAGCCAAACCAACAAGTAAATGGATTCCAATACATAAAATCCTCTCAACATTTAAACAATGAGTTAGCAGCTAGCCTGCCTGAGAGTAAGCTATCAACTACCAGTTAAGTTGCTCAGACCACCACAAACAATAATCAGCCTTGCAAAGTCATTTCAAATAGAGAGCCACATAAAGAGTTCACTGCATTACATAAGTTTCCTGTCTACTAGAAGAGTTTGAACTCATCTATCCTTTTAAAACATATTTGCACAATTTCCTAAATTAAGATGTCAAGTATTCAAATTCATCTTCTAATGTTCAATCATCCAATATCACAAAGATATAGAGAGCAAAATGGGGAACTCATTTCACAAACAAGTGATACTAGAGCCACAAACTGAAAAGTTAAACTAACATGGTTTCCTATACAACAATTTTTTAGACCAAAATGGACTAAATCAAACAGGAAAAGGGTTTATATACCCAGATATACGGTTAATTGATGACTCTGACATAGAGATCTCCATGGTTTCCAGATTGGGGCAGGAGAACGCAATGCAAGCCAGCATTGTTGAATCCATATCACTGCAATGAAACACAAAAGTTGATGAATATAAATCAACTCAAAAAAATTAGTAAATTAAACACATTACATTCAAAAGAAAACACAAGACAACACCAAGCATTTCTTTTTTATCAGAAATTAACAATCACAGGAGTCCTGCTTCTAAGACACCTGAGTTTCAGCTCGGGTACAGCAACTAGCACAGAATTGAACTGATTTAAGCTATAGCAGTATTAAAAATAGCTTCACATTTTTCTGCTTCATCAAATAAAAACCAATTTCACTGAAAATCAATCTATCGTAAATTAAACTTAGCAAAGGTAACTCCCTCAATATACATTCACGCATCAGTTTTTGTTATTTAAATGTCAAGTTTAATTACAGCTTTTCAAAATCCCTAATCTCAACTCATGTTCAATCACACCAAAACATTTTGAATTTTCCTAGATCTTATCATATAGTGCTATATCTTTAAAATGTAAAAACAATCCTTACCTCACATTCTTTTTTCAACTTGATCAGAGTATCAAGTAGCAAAATCATCATCATTATTACATCCAAAACAACCACAATCAAATAATACCCTAATTTTACACCGATTAATGTTGTTTTTATTAGTATAAACAGTAGCCATCAAACAAACATCAATCTGGGCAGCCAAATTTTGTGCAGTAATCACCTCCAACATTATACACAATACAATCACGCAAACCCTTACATTCATGCAACCAAATATCCATCACTAAGAAAATTAAACAAGCATTTACAGACAACAAAAACCCTAGCAATTAAAAAATAAATCTAATGAACAATCAAAAAAAGGAAAGTAAATACATACCAATAACCAAGATCTAAAGCAGAGGACTCGAGAAGAGATAGAGAGATGGATCGCGACCACCGTAACCATCATAACCTTGGCGGACTCGAGAACAACATGTTCACCATGTTCATCGACCTCATCGCAACATAAAAATCACAAAAAAAAAAGTTAAATAAAAATCAGAAACCCTATATTTCAAATCGAAGAGGCGAAGAGCACATACCTCCGTGAAGATACCAAAATGTGGACTATCTTTTGTACTAGGACATAATTATTATATATATATGTAAATAAATATAATTTCGTAGGTCGGTAATTAAATTTTTTAAAACAACAATTTCAGGACTCAATGTTTAGTTCTTTTTTTTGTCGATTTATCATAAAAAAAAATCAGGTTTGAAAATGCATATTTTTACAGAAATTTGTTTCGGGCTGGAACTAAAATTTACGACGGAAAAAGCGTCGCAACCTATAATTTACGACGGAATTTTCTGTCGTAATTTATAATTTGCGACGGAATTTTCTGTCGCAAAGTATAACTTGCGACGGAAATTTCCGTCGCAACCTATAATTTACGACGGAAAATTCCGTCGCAACTTATATATTTCCGACAGAATTTTCCGTCGCAAATTATAATTTACGACAGAAAATGTCGTCGTAAATTATAGGTTGCGACACTTTTTTCCGTCGTAAATTATAGTTTGCGAGGGAATTTTCCGTCGTAAATTATAGTTTGCGACAGAAAATTCCGTCGTAAATTATAGGTTACGACGGATATGTTGCCGCCGGAATCTTGCGACGGATCATCCATAAAGGCCAAGTTCAAGTCCGACGATATTATTTCTGTCGTAAATTCCGTCGGAAGAAAGGTTTACGACGGAAATTCCGTCGGAAGATGGTCATTTTCCTACAAAGGGTTTTTCGACGACCCGTTACGACGGAATTCCGTCGGAACCCTACTTTCCGACGGAATTGACATATGTTACGACGAACTTTTTCCGTCGCAATTTCATTGTTTACTTGTAGTGAGTGTCAAGGCCTTTCTTATAGACGGGTTGCACAACGTCATAGTAATACTTTTTAAATAATCATAAACACGATAGTTATTCCTGTTGTAAAATATGTGTTTCGAAGGCTACGAATAATAGAATGAATAAAGCAATAGTTTGATTAAAAGGAAGATGGTGTGGCGTGACTTCGTCACTGCCTTTGAAAACGAATTCCGGCGCAACCGGGGTGCACATTGTATCGCCGGTACGTTCCCTAAGGTTACACACCACTCTCACTCAAAGGCACTTTTGGATGAGAGGTGGAGTCATATAAACTTATGCCCAAAGAACAAATGTGTTTAGCTAGTTTTTGTGTATGATGTGTATCAACAATGAAGACTAACCAAGCTAATTTTATAGCCAAGGATCAAGTTTCAAGAGGATGAACCTGGACATCAAATGGGTGATTGAATCATATAGAAGTTGATTAAATCACCATAAACAACCACTTTAATGGAAGGTTACAAGAGTATCCAAGAGAGGAAGGAGAATGCCAAAAGATGAATGAATGTAGACATCAAAAAGTCCACTCCACAACTGTAATCCCCCATATTTTTAAATATATTATAAATGAAATTATATATTATTTATAATATTTATTTGTATTTTTTCGGAATTTAATTTCAAAAGTTTCAAATTATTTTTGGGGTTGATAAACGATTTTATTATAAAGAACTTTTTATGAACCTTCCTTCTATAATTTATGTCCAACAAACAAACCAAACCCAGTTTACTTTCTTAATTGACCCATTAATTTAATGAGGCCCAATATCCCTACTTATCCTACTACCCTGTCTCCTATAAATACCCCATACATCCCCAAATATTTCCCCACACAAATGGTTAGTCTTATTTTCTTTCTCCTTTGTTTCATTAATTTGTATAATTATAACATAATTATTGATTATGGGTTTTGATTTTATTGTTTGAAATTAATTTAATTAGTATCAAATTGTATTTTGATGATTAAACTTTATAATTTCAGATTTTATAAATGTTATAATTTTCAGATTTTGTAAATTTAATAACCTAGGGTTTTTAATCATTGAAAATCATGATTTAGGGTTTTTATGAACAATCGATTTAGGGCTTTTATAGTAATGATGTTTTGAAATTTTGGTGATTACACTACTAATTAGTTTAAATTAATTCTAGATTATTTTAAACACGTAAATTCGTGTTTTAATGTTTAGATTTTGGTTCGTTAATATTAATCTCGTTTTAATCCCGATCAGGTTCTGAACTCATCCGATTTTGACAACAAAAGTAGTGTTTTCCATGTGGAAACAACGTTTTAAGAAAGACTCACTACCTTTGGTAGTGAGCACCACACTCTCGTGGCCAAATTCAGCCTCTAAATATGATTTTCGGGCAGTTTTTGATTTAAATGAAGTTTTTTTTATACTTAAAATATTATCCTTGAGTTTGATTAATAAAATTAATTATGTTTAAAGTTAATTAAGCATAAATATATGTTTTTATTGAATTTTTAAGTGTTGGAAATAGTTTCTAAGTACTACTTTTAATGTTTTATAAAGAGGGTTTAATCACCCATTAAAAAGGGAGATTTTTAGGGGTTTTAATACAATTTTCAGATTTTTATTAGACTTTGAACTTGCTGTAATTTCATGTATAAGAGTGTATTTTAAGGTTTTTATGAAGAAAATTTAAAGAACTATATATAAGCCTTTAATTTTAACTAAAGGGAAGGTTTTAAAGTGTTGTTTAATTTGGATTTTGAAGGTTTTAAAGTAAGTTAGTATTGCTGTAAATTTGATTGATTGAGTATTGATTGAGATGTTATTATTTGGTTTAGGAGAGGATTTTATTGAATGTGAATTCTAGTTAGTAAAGTGGCACAAAGGATTGTTTACACGAGGTACGTACATGTCTACTTCGTTGTAAGTAGTATCATGTTTAGGTACCAAAGAAAAGAACTTAGTTTCATGATTAGAGAACACTTGGATGAAAATTGTTTGGTTATACATTTAATTAATTCATGTGCTTATGTTTATGAGACATGTTTTTGGTGAATTGATTATGTTTGTATGGAATTATGGATGCAAACATGTTGAGTTATATTGGATTAATTAGTTGTATGGAATGTTGATACAAACATATTTTATTGGATTGGTTTGTTAACCACATTTGGATTATTAAAGGATTGGAATTTAATGGTTTAAATGGAATGAATTTATTAATTATTCCACAAGGTTGTTATTTATTTTATTTTATTACTCAATCATGAATTGTTAGTATATTGAGTAAAGGTGGATTAAGCCGAAATGGCTAGGTGAGTTGACTATGTTCAACAATTTGGATAATTTGGAAGTTTAATGAAATTAAAGGTCAATTTGTGATGTGATCACCATTGTCCTAAATAAGATTACAAGTAAATTAATGTATGATTTTTATGTATGGTCTATTGGATTGAGTCGACTATTAATTAAAATTGTAATCACGTAAAGTGAAACATGGATGAGCAATAAAACTCTGGAAAGCGTGCACTTCTAGAGTATTGACAATTATGGGTTGGGGTACACGGTGGTAGCCCGTGGCTTTCCGAGGCTTGTTTGATCAACATGTCCTCTTTTCTTTTGGTTTTTACATTTTATTTTATAATGAAAGTTAGATGGGATCCTAGACTAACTTTGTGAGAATGGAGTCGCGCCCATTCTTGCATCGCGCTAAACTTTTATTTTAAATGGTCATTTGGGACCAAAATGATTTGGTGGATTGGACAACCTCGTCTATTGCTTACTCCAAACAAAATTAATTAAATTAAATATAAAGAGTCGAGTGTTTAGAATTGGTTAGAAAGTATGTTGAGTCAATTGAATTGTTTAAGTGTGGAGTCTTGATTAATGAATTCAAGTTGTACGTTTATTTACTTTAATTATTTGAGCATGTCAGGTTTTGTGCGTTGTAGCTTGTATGTACTCAGCTTTGCTGATTGCGTGCTTTTGTGTGTTTTCTTTTGGTCATGGCCTTCGCCTTTCAATGACCTTGTGATGATCCAATTATTACACTTGTATTATTGGGGAGCAGTATTGCACATGTTAGCTTGATGATGTGAAGTTCGGGGATTTGACATACGCAATGTCAAGGAATTGGTGTGATTGAGAGTATTCGTTCTTTGTGTTGAACTTATTTATGTTTTACTATTTTAATTATGTTTTGGGATTTTGGAATATTGGTTTGGTTTTAATAAGGGCCTATATGGTTCCAATTTGTAAGCTTTGACTTATTGATTTTCTAAATTATATTATTTTAATATTTAAGTTGGATTTCCGCTACAATACTTTGATAAAGCCTTAACGTTTTAACACGTGGCGGTAACATGCCAATGGTTCTCCTCTATTTTTATTTAACGTAAGTGGTTTGGAAAAGTGAGAATTATTGGGGTGTTACAACAACCCACTTGTGGTCAATCGTTGTTGGTCACAACCTACTTGTGGAGTAGGCTGATATTCTTATAAAGAAGACATAAAAAGCCTACTCCACAACCCACTTGTGGGCAAACGTTGTAAGCCACAACCTCCTTGTGGAGTGAACTGATCAACAATCAAAAAGCGTGGTTTTTCTCTCTTTAATCCAACAATCCCCCACTAAAGGGAGGAAAACAAATCCAAAAGAATAAGAAGCAACATATGGGCATAAGAGGAGATGTAGTACATAACACTAGATATTACAAAAGTAATTTGAAATCTAGTGCTTAGTGGTATGAAGCAATGACCTACAAGTCTAAGGGTGGAAAAACCTTGAAACCCTTAAGACTCTTGATCATGGAGTGGACGAACCTTGAAACTCCAAGATTTAGTGCATGACCCCACAACACATACATCACTCTAAAATTTATATGAACTCCGCGAAGAGATATGCTCTTTTATAGCCAAGCATATTCACCTTAGGTCTAGTGGAGGCTTTAGGAAATTATCTAACTTATCCTCAATAGTTTCTTCCAAGGTAAACAATCACTCATGTTATCAATTCATTAAGTTAAAGAAACACTCTTCACACATTGCATAGAAAAACCAAATCAAGACAAATAAATAATAGTCTTTAGCATAACTAGTCACTTTCATGCTTTGCATCAAATAGAAGAGAAACTAAAAATGATGCCTCTTATTCCTCTTATGGTCAACTTGTTTACTCAATAAACAAAATAAATACATATATGGGAATATAGCAATCAAGAGACATGAGAATTTCATATGCATAGCCAATCACTCAAACATGACATAATGCATAAAATTGCTAAAAACAAATTATTAAAGTAAAGG